CAAGAAGCCCTGGTGGCACTGTGGGTTATGGGTTGGGCTGTTAACCACCAGGTCGGCAGTTCAAACCCTCCAGTTGCTCCCTTGGAGAAAGATGAGGCTGTCTGCTGCAATAAAGATTTATAGTCTCAGAAACCCTAAGGAGAAGTTCAATTCTGCCCTACGGGGTGGCTTTGAGTCAAAATCCACTCAATGTCAGTGGGCTTTTATTGATGGTTATTATTAAAGTATCTTCTAGGCACTTCTCAGTAGTGTGACATCCAAGACAATATCAAAGACAGAAGACTGAACAATCCCTGTGCCTTAGCAGGATGCTTTTATATGTATTTGTTAATGAGGGGAACTCTGAAAATGCAACCCAGCAAGCCTAAGTCTAAGTCAAAAGCCTTAAAAATCTTGTTCACAACATGTTGCCTAGTGAACTAATCATTAAAAAAAGAGTTCTTTATGGTAACAGAGGGGGGCTTTGATTATTCAAATCAATATAACTCACTTTAATATATCATCTTTGTTCTCTCTTTGTTACCTAAAATATGTCCCTCACCTTGAACAATTTCTGAAAAAGATTCTAAAGCCACAATACAACCAGGTTGCCAAAAGTCACGTCAGCCCCCAAGCTTGGACTGAAATTATCCCAACAAACTCAGACATTTATGCTTTTGGCAGCATTCAATCTCCCCGGTGCTACATTAGAGAGAACATGATAAGTGACTGTGACATAGAAGCAGCAAGTGTGTATTCTGGAAACTGACAGGGGGGTGGGGGGCGACACTGCCATTTCCATACAGTGGTTAAAGAACAAGAACTTATTCAAGTCCTCTCCGCTGCCCTCTAGCCCTGTGCTTCGGAATGTGTGGTCCAAAGAATTGGAGCCACAGTGTCACCAGGGAACTTGTTAGAAATGTAAATTCACAGCCTCACCCTGATGGACTGAATCAGAAATGCTGGGAACTGGGCCCAGTAATTTGTGCTTTAACAAGCACTCCAGGAGATTATGATGCACTAACGTTTGAGAACCAGGGCTCCTCAAACTTTAATGTGCCTAAGAATCACCTGAGGGAGCTTGTTAAAAATTCAAGTTCTAATTCAGCAGCTCTGAGGCGGGTCTTAGAAATTTCCATTTCTGACAAGTTCCCAGGTGATGTTTTTCTGCAGTTCACACTGCTAGCCTTTCCCAAACTGGTTGTTTACCATAATTCCCTATGGGACTACTAAAAACCAAATTAATCAGCATCTCAGGAGAAAGGCCCAGTGGAATATAAACTGTGGTTCACAACCTCCTTACCTCAGGAGCTTTTCATAATCCTTATGCCCAGGTCCCACCTAAGACTACTTAAATCCAAATCTGGGGCGGTGGGGGAGGGGGGACGGCAATGGGATGTGGGAGTACCCAGGCACTGGTATTTTTAATAACTTGCCTATGATCTTAATGTGTATTAAAGGTGTATTCAAGGTTGTGGAATTGAACTGGCTCAACACCTAGCATAGGTGATGCCTGTATAGGAGCAGTTTCCTATAAGGTCGCTGTTTTGGCTCCCTGATATATAAATGCCAGAACTCCGGGTTTGAATAGGAAAAGGCCTACAGTTGTGTCTTTACTTTAGCATATCTTGAACCTCCTATCTGTGGGCAAAGGCGCATGTACAAATGAGGCCAAAGCCTTCGCAATGCATTACTAACTTTTAGCACAAAGATGATCTGTGTTTTCTTAGATACCTTTCCACTTTCCCCCCATAGTGCTAGCTGAGGCTACCTCTCTGCAGTACGGTAAGCACTCCAAAAGATAGCAGCAGCGGAGAAGATGTTTTTATCCATACAGCTTTCTTCGATATTGACCTCCCCTCAGAAAACCTGAGATAAATAGATCCCCTGCTACTACTTACTACCTTTCTGAGTGGAAGGGTCCTGATGGGTTTGCAACTTCTAAACCACGGGTCTTCAAACTTTTTAAACAAGGGGCCAGTTCACTGTCCCTCAGACCCGTTGGAGAGCCGGGCTATAGTTTAAAAGAAAAACTATGAACAAATTCCTATGCACACTGCACAGATCTTATTTTGAGGTAAAAAACAAAACGGGGCAAAAACACCCGGCGGCCTGGATAAATATCCTCGGTGGGCCGCATGTGGCCCGCAGGCCATAGTTTGAGGACCCCTGTTTAGATCTAAACATTTCACCAATTGCAGATATTCTAGCTGGTGGGGCTTAGAAAAAAGATGAAAATGGTGTGCTGTTTCCAGTGCTTATACGCACTGTGTGAGTAAGTCTCACCAGGTGAGACTGGCTTCTGGAGATAGGCAGGGCTTGAGATACTGTTGCTCATGACATGCTCTTGGGGGTCTATTTATGTCTCATGGACAACTGCATAGGGCTCCTCTAATGCGTGCAGAGAACTATTAAATAGCTAAAGCAGAAAGAAAGAATATGGTGGAGGACTAAGACACTGTCGAATGAGTTGCTATTTCGTTCTCATAATTAAGCACTGCTTTTGAGTCATTTTCCTGAGATCTCCACAGCACACCTCAAAAATGACTTGAGAATAAAAGAAAACCAAGCCGCTTTCTCCTGCAACCTCTCTTTCCATTGAAGTGCACTTTCATGCCCCCTTCCCCCCCATTGGTCGTGTTCATTGTCTACTCCAAATTAGCTGTTTCATAGAACATACGGCACATTGAAGGCCGGCTTCATGATGACAATTCTTGTTCTTCTACTACTATTTTAACCTAGGGAGAATGGTCACAAGTGTGTCTGATTTTATCTTTTTGACTCCCCTAATGGGTAACAATGAAAAGGTGGCTAGGGTGTTTAATAGAAGAGAAACAATACCTAAATCCATGTTCACAATAGCCCACTGTTCAAGGACATTTGCAATAGCATTTTGCTGTAGGAACTGGTCAAGCTCACCTTTCCTTTGAAACATTCTTGTGATATTCATTCAGTTAACCTAGACTCATTTTAAAATGTGTGAAAATAGCACCTCCTGGAAGTGTGTTCTCATATGCTTTGGAGCAATGGAGCGTGAATACTAAAACAGCCTTTGCCAAACTCATGTAACAGCTCAAGAACTAAATGGGAACGAGTTTTTGCAGTCCCATGACTTTGCAGAGCTAACCTAAGTATCATCCCAGAACTGGGTTTTAACGCAGCACAGGCATCTCAGAGGAGGCAGGAAAGTCAAGCATAAGTGACTCGAGTTAAGAGATATTGCATACATTTTTACATGGCAGTCTTTCCCAGATGTTTTTTTTTCCTTCTTCTTCTTCTTCTTCTTCTTTTTCTGTGGAGCCACAAAACAAATTGGCTAAGTAAAGATGTGGACGTGAGAGCTCAGTTCCGAGAGTATAAGCACTGTGAAATGTACATGCCTATTTCATTGGCTTGACACAACCTGTATGCCCTTTCACAGAGATCTCCTGAACCAAGGCCCGGGGATAACCCAAGTCCAAAATAAAATGCACAGAGGAGTCATACAAAATCAAATCCATTTTAAAGTATATCCAAGCCAAGGGAAAAAAAAACAATACACATTGACTATTTCCAGGACACTTTATTGCAATTTCCACGTTACATATTAATGCAATATTTTCAGACTAGACAGAAGTGTTTGCACTTATACAGTTAGTCGTCGAATCCCCTAAGATAGCAAAATGAAAAGGGGCAATTTTAAAAAGGACAGCGTTTCAGATAGTTATGATATGGGGGAAGAACCAGGGTCACTTGTCTCAGCTAAGAAAAGGACTGATGTTTTTCAGTTTGAAGTTCCCTGACATTTTTTGTCTCTGATTTTCCTTGTGGCTGCTCAGACTTCATAATAAAAGCCATCACCCTCTTTCTCACCGGGCCCTTCATTGAGCTTTACAGTCTGTCTAGCATTTAACTCAAAAAGTCAGTTTACACTCAAGTTTACACATTTTTTAAAAAAGAAAGGAAAACACAAAAAAACCATATGCCCCACTTCCTACACATCCAAATGGACAGGGCTTAGAATTAACCTGGCTTTCAGCTGTAATCCTACTATTTTAAGCAATTCCAACCACATAACTTGAAAGGGGGGGGGGGTGTTTAAAAGTACAAAACCAAAGGAACCCATCAAAATTCCTACACAGTGACCGCTGGGGAGGGGTGAAATCGTTCTCAAATCCGCAGCATCTCATAGATTTCTTCGAAGTGAAGTGGACACAAAAGCAAGTGCTCCCTTAATGTACAAACTGACACAGTGCCTCTACGCGGACGGCCCTGACTGAGTGAGCTATTCCCCAGACCAGATGAGAGAGAAAAAAGAGAGGGGGTAGTGGGGGGAACAAAAAGGTCCCACTCGTCAAACGCGAGGAAGCCAGAGGTGTGTTTCCCTAGAAACACATTTTAATAGGAAGGCTCGCATAAAAATAAGTAGCCAGGGTAAATGTGTTTTAAAAGAAACAAAACCACCCTCCCCACTCCATTGGCCACGATGAGCAACCTTCTGGCAAGCTCCGCAGCTAAGTCCCATCACTAGCAGAACAGAAGTTGGAGAGTTGCTATTTTCCCCCCTGCCATGGGATAGTAAGTAGGCTCTCAGTGTGCGAGGTATGAGCGGGGCAGCAATCCTGGCGGGGCTTTCACTGGGGGAAGCCGGAGCGGGGTGGGGGTGGGGGCTGGGGGGGTCATTGGTGTTAGGGAAACCAACGTGGGGAGAGGTCAGCACCTAGAGTCGCCCAGATCGCCCAGAGCGGGGCGGGTGGGGGCAGGGTGGGGGCGCTGGCGAAGTGGAGAAGGCGAGGGTGAAAAAGTCCTGGAAGTTCTGGCAAAGAGAAAGCAACCCCCGGCGGGAGCCAGCGGGCCAGCCGGGTGCGGGGTGCGTCCCCGAGAGCACAGAAAGCGCGGGGTGCCCTTCGGCGCTTGCCTCCCGGGAGCGGGGACCAGGCAGCGGCTGGGGCAGCCGCGGGCGGGGAGGAGACTCGACTTTGCCTCAACTCTCAGCCCCATCCCGGGCGCGTGGGGAGGGCGGCGGAGGGCACGGTACTCACTAGGGCTCGTTGGTGAAGCGGGGGGTCCGAGGCTGCTGGTATCCGTACAGGTGACAGTAGAGCACATCGAAGCAGAAGCAGCACATCTCCGCGGACACCACCATCTTCCGGGAACCCGGCGAGGAGGACGAGGCGGCGGACGAAGAGGAGGGCGAGGAAGAGGTGGCGGCGGCCGGGGTAGAAAGTAGGGTCCCCACTCCGCAGCTCGGAGGTGGCGACAGGGAGAGCCCCCCGCCGCCGCCGCCGCCGCCGCCCTGGGGGGGAGAGAGAGTACAGCCGCTGCCGCTGCCGCTACCTCCTCCGGTCAGCCCTCCCAGCCCGTTGAGCCGCGGACCGGCGCCTCCGAGTCCCAGCTCGGCCGCTCGGCACTGGCTCTCGCCGCTGCAGTGGGAGGAGGAGGAGGCGCCACCACCGCCACCCGAGCCGGAGGGGGGCGAACTGGACAGTTTCTGCTTCTTCACCCCGCAGCAACCCGCCGCCATCTTGGAACGGTCTCCCCCACGCAACGTTTCCGACCCATAAGTGAGGCGAGCTGGCGGCGGGGGCGAGCACGCTGCGGCCTGGCCGCCAGGGGCGCGCCGGGGACGGGCGGGCACGCGCGCCGCTTTCCGGACGGCTCTTGGGGCCACGCGGCTCCCCGGGCCGCGGGCGCGCGGGCGCGGGCGCGCGCGGACCCCACTGCCCTCCCTGGCCCGCCACTCGCCCGCATCCCCAGCCCCGAGCCCCTACCTACCGTCCGCTCTGGGAGGGAAGACGGCCGCAAGGTCGCCCGCAAAGGACGGGAGGAAGGAAGGTGCGGGCCAAAGTGGCGGGGAGGAGAGGAGGGAGGAGGTGGGCACGCCCCAGGAGGCAGGAGGCCACGGGGAAGCCCAGGGGTGCGGGAGGGAGGCGGGTGAAGAAAGTCCGAAGTCAGCGCCCAAGTCCCAAAGCACATCTCGATGACCGCTGCTGGACAGGGTGGTAGTGACACTTGAACCGAGTCCCGTGGAACCTGAGCCGCGCAGCCTCCAAGGCGAGAGCTTCGGAACTGTTCACCCGGCGCGCAAGCTGGGCCTGGGAACCCCACACCAGAGAGCTTCACTGTCAAGTGTGTCGAAAGCTGTCCGAAGAAGAGCCACACTGCAGTGTCTTGAATACGCATCCAAGCCCACAGGGGTGGCTTTACAAGATTTCTTTGCAGACAGATGATTCGAGCCCAATCGAATCTAGACATCTTGTACTCCATCCCCCATATTCCCTCCTCTCAAAATTCACCGCCATGGAGTGGATTCCGACTCTTAGGGACCCTTATAGGACAGGATGGACCTGCCCCTGTGGGTTTGCGAGACTGTAATACATTACTTGAGTAGAAAGCCTCCTCTTTCCCCCGCAGGCATGGCTGGTGGCTTTGAACCGCCAGCCTTGTGGTTAGCAGCCCAAATTGCAAGACTACGCCACCCATGAAAATGTTGAAACATGGGAAAATGAAGTACTTACCAACATCTCACGGGGCCAAAGGTGTTCACTGGGGCTTGGGGTCGGTGAAGTTTTCTTTGAGGGGGTTGCGTTTGGGGTGGGGGTGGGGGACAAAGTAATTAGAAACATACCTGCAGTCAGCACAGATCTTACAGTTAAGTAGGGCAGAAAGCGTCCTTAATCGCAGGTTGGAAGGTTTTACTGAGCTATATAATTAGATAGTTCTTAGGATCTATTTTCAAACTTCTCAATAAAAAAAAAAAAGAAGAAGAAGAAGAAGCTTGGGTGGATAAGGAGACCTACAATGGAGTCGACCCCAGCCTAGGTGTCAAACATGCCACGAAATAAATGATATCAATAACTAAAGTGACTTGAACATGTACTTGTACATTGTTTGCATTGTGTCTGCACCATCCCGAGTCCTCTAAAATGTTAAGTGTCTGCATATTCAGAAACATTGAAAGATTGATTGATTTCTCTCACCATTGATCTGAATGTGTAGGGTATTTAGATACCTGGGTACTGTTCATTTTGTACAGGAAAAACAAACCAGGTGATTCGTTTACTAAATATGGAGCCTCTTTTCAATCCTCGGGGTATGGAGCCTCTGCACAATACTCAGGGTTCCTCGGGTCATAGTGTACTGCTAATGGGAAGAATAGTTTGATTCAGCCAGCCACTCCATGGGAGAAAGATGAGATTTTCTACTCCTTTAAACAGTTACCATCTCAGTATCTCCACATGGGCAGTTCGACCCCCTCCTACACTGTTGCTACGAGTCAGAATAAACTCGATGGCAGAGAGGTTTTTTTTTTGCGGGGGTCGTGTGTGTGTGTGTGTGTGTGTGTGTGTGTGTAGGGGTGTTTGGTCAATATTATGTGCACAATACTGTACATACGTTGAAGTCCATGGGCTATGAAGGAAATGTGCTTCCCACTCTCAAAGAGTTTCTGAATTGAATCACATAGTTACTATTTATTCAAGGGAACCCTGGTGCTATGGTGGTTATAATAGCTGGGCTGCTAACTGATCCAAATTCATCAGTCTGCTCCAGTATAGAATATAGCATTGGACACCCTATGGGGCACGTCTACCATGCCCTATAGGGTCACTGTGGCTTGGAATCAACTCAACAGTAACTGAATTTCCCCCTTTCTTGAAAAAAATAAAAAGTATTCAATATTCTTTTTGTACTTACAGTGCCATGCCTCATCTCGCCCAAAGGAATGTACTGTCTCATTTGATCTTCACAGCAACCCTCTGAGGATGCTCTTTTCCAGATGAGTAAATGGAACTTCAAAAGCTACTTGCCCACACAACTAGAAAGTGATAGAACCAGGGTTTGAGTGCAAACATGGCTACTTACAAAAAGCATGTCATACTATTCTGGGTCTCAGTATGTTACAGAAAGATTAGCGATGAGCGTAAGATGCTAATATTAAACTGCAGTAGATGGTGTAGTGGTTACATGTGGGCCTGTGAACCACAAGTCAGCAGTTTAACCCCACCAGCCACTCTTCAGGGAAAAAAGACTTAACTTTCTACTCTGGTAGAGTGACAGTCTCAGAAACCCACAGGGGCAGCTCTCCTCTGTCTTCTAGGGGCACTATGAGTCAGAATCTACTCAATGGCAGTGAGGTTGGTTTGGGAAGTAAAGGAGGAGCCAAATAAAAATAAGGTTGTGGTTGTTAGAGAAAGGTGGAAACAATGAAATTATGTCATCCACGAAAGTTGGAGATTCTCCTTCCAAGGAGATTTAAAGAAATAGATCATCGATGTGGGATGGTTAGATGCAACCTACAGCCAAAAAAGATGGATTAACCATTTGGTGATGTGTGGTCTCATCAGCGCTGTAAGAACTAACCACGTGGCTGAGGAAAATGCCAATGACACTATCAACTACTAGTGGAGTAAAAAAACACATTGAGGTCTTTTGTCTGTGTTGCAGAGGAGAAAGCAGAATTTCTGTGTGTGCTTTTTCTGTATCTATTTAAAAAGAAAACAGGGGAGGGAAAAACACTAGTAGGCTGTTAGGATATTTTGTTTAACACGTCATTCTTAACCACCAGAGCCTACTATTTAATGTGTTTGAAACTGGGTCAAATATAATATCAAACAGTAGGTACTGCTTCACTCCCCACCCCACCCCAAAGTTATCACTTCTAGAGTAGAACCCAGAGCCATTTAATGACATCACACCACAGTTTAGCACAGGAAGCAAAGTAGGATCCATGGATGGCTGCTTATGCTAGGGGAATTGAGGAAAGCGGAATGTAATCTCCCGATTTAGAATTTGGCCAGTAGACAAGAGTCTAACGCCCCTACTCTTGTGAAAATAGCAAGGAATCTTTAATAAGCACCAGTAGGCATGCCCTTACTTCTGCATTTCATCTAAAAGACAAAAGTCCCCAGCATGGCTCAGATACCAGGCTAGGGGTCAGACACAAAAAGAACTTTTTTACCAGAAGGTTTTTCATTCCAAACCTCACCCGCCTAATGGAAACAAACAAAGCCAAATATGATCATTGCAGAAAAACACAGCATTAAGCGACCACAAGCGGCTACTCTCTGAAATACTTTGGTCCACTAGCTAAAGGGGCGGAGGGAATGGGAAACCAGTGGAACCTTTCTCTCTGTGTTAACTTCTCCTGGGGTTGGCTTATGTCCCATACTAACCTTGAGTCTCAAGATGCTTTGTAAATCCCCTGGCAAGTAGTGATGGTTGTAGTAATGCCTCCGTTTAAGCCTTTGAGGAAACACCACCCCCACTGGCCTTGTTTTCTTGCAAAGTCACCAGCATAGAAGTCAACATATTTCATTCACACGTAAATGAAATCCACAGTGCAAAATCTGTGAAAATCGATCGTTTTACGTCTGTGGAAAGTGCACAATGGATGGAAAAACTGACCTCGTTCAGGAGGCTCTTGAGTTGAAGTGTAAAGGTCAAAGTATGATAGAGCACCTGTGTTTCTAGCTACTGCTGATACTGCAGTGCCGTGATAAAAACCCTCCAGAGGAAACCCTAAGGTGCCTCTGCTCTTTGTAACTGACTGTCAAGCTGGGAGCTAAAGATTCTGTGTGTCCCTTACATGCAAAACACACACACACACACACACACACACACACACACACACACACACCATAGTCTGTAAAAAAAAAACCACATGCATTCCCTCAATTCATGACAGAAAAATTTAAAAAGTCAAAAGGAAATAAAGTTGTCCCATGAATGGCCACAATGGATTCAGGCGCAAGAGCAGGAATTGCACTGGATGGTGAGGTTAGGACTCCTCTGAGATATGTCATTCTCCAACACTGCTTTTTAATGCTTTCTCCCTGAAGGATTGGAGAGTTCTGTTTGTTTGAAATAAACTCCCTCTCATCCGGTAGATTCCGACTCCTAATGAGTGACCTCGATAGGACAGGGTAGAACTAACTGCCCCTGTGAGTTTTGGAGACTGTAACTCTTTACAGGAGTACAGAGCCCTGTCTTTCTCCAAGGAGTAGCTGGTAGTTTCTGACTGCTGGCCTTGTGGTTAATAGCCCAATGAATAACCCACTATGCCAGGAGGGCTTCCGGGTTTTTGTTTTTGTTTGGGGGGGTTGTTTGTTTGTTTGGTAAAGCATATGTAAATTGTAACATTTCTGCTTCTATAAAATAAAAACAAAAAACCAAACCCGCTGCCATCACGTCACTTCTGACTCTTAGCCGCCCATTAGAGGTTTTCTGAAGCTGTTATCTTTCTGGGAGCAAAAGGCCTTATCTTTGTCCCAAGGAACAGCTGGTGGGTTTGGAGCCCTGAAGTTGGGGCTAGCCATCCAACCTTACCCTGGGCTGTGTCTGCCTCAAAGTTGCTGTGAGCTAACCTGTGTCAAATGCTTCATCCTTCAGCAACTGGGAAAACTATCCACACAAAGGTTATGCTCATTATTTACTATGTGGTACAACTGGAAACTGAATTAAACCTAACAGTTACTGATTATTTTATGACCGTAATCTGGTCTCATGTTTACAACATCCGAGACT